AAACCTGCTTTGATGGGCTTGCTTTGTATAGGTTTACCAGAGCCAATCGAACTCAATCCATTAAATTGTGTTCGATTGAGTTCGGAACACAATCAGATGGATTGAGTTCGATTGAGCTCGATTTGTTCGATTGAATTCGATTTGTTCGGAAATCGAACTCGCTGAAAGTCTGGTGTTCGATTTAATTCGATTGCCGAACTCAATCGAACTTAGCCTGCGTGACAGGCGCAAAAAGGGGAGGGGGGAGGACGGAGGGAGAAAGGGAAAAGGGAAGGGAGCCCTCCCTCTCTCCCCAATCCCCCTCCCCTTTTTCCCTTCCTCCCTATCCCCTATCCCCTACCCCTTTCGACGCCTGCTACGCAGGCTAGCTATTTTTCCCAAGCAAACCGCAAATTTTTGCACAATTTTTATACGGTCTTAAAAGTTTAAGTTTTTGCCTGTTTTTCTAGAAAACCTCTCTGCGTTCTGTCGTTTGGTCATTTCAATAATAAGGCCAGGGAGCAACTGTAAGACTTTACAATATGGTTCTGTATTCTGTAACAGAAGTGGCTTGGCGGGTCGCTAGTCAAGATGGGTGTTTATAAAACTAGAGTGATTTTACTTCAACAGTGAAACAGATAGTAACTTGAGCTACAAATAAGCAAAAGAAGACAATTGAATTAGTCCATTATGGTGCGTAGTATTCTACTACATTGTACCTATTTCACGGATTAAGTAAAATCACTCTATGACATAAGACATATAAGTGTAAGACAGACCTAAGAAACCTGTTTTCAGTATAAGTTTTTAAGAACAAGTAAGGGATATTTTTAGTGGCGTAGTGGCTCGTTGGCTTGTCAGTTGAGCTTTATAGTGTCTTAATTAATAAGGAGAAAGGTGAATATTTTAGTGGCTCGGTGGCTTAGTGGCTCATCAGTCAAGGTTAGAAGGAGATTAAGGTATTGATGTTTTACTGGGTTGGTTCAAGACTCATCAGTGACTGGCGAGCTGCAGAGACACCCCAACAAATATACAGCCTGTATACCCAGAGAAGTGGCCCTGTATTCTGTAGTTACGGCAAGGCTAGTTCATTATTAATTTTGCATTAATGAGCCCTTCCATCTGGCATCATCAAAATTCTTAATTCCCACATTGCAGTAGGTTTTTTCGCAAAGCTACTGATGCTCTTGCTGAATGGATGGAATTTTAAAACTTTATTTACATGTACTCAATTTATTTCCAATCCGTTGGCCATGATGTCAGAGCGATCTTCATCTTTGTAAAGGTTCAATTGCATAGCTCTCTGCTCTGATTAAAAGAGCTTAACATATTCACATTCCAAGGCCAACACTCACTTCTGGACTTATGAATTGTTTTCCTCATAATGAATAAACAGCAAGCTTAATGTACCCCTTTGTTTAGAAGTGTAGACCGAGTGGAAAACTGGCTACACATGTATTTTGGATTTTGCCCTTTCAGAAAACCTTTTAATAATTGATGGAAAATTCTCTAATTTTTTTTTCTCCTGTCCCTTTACTACTACACCTGTGCTAGCCAACAAGCAGGCTTGCCATTCAGTGGCATTCATTTGATAGGCTATTAGAGTCATGCATACAAACATCAAGTGTCAAAGCCAGCTTTAGTGTAAGTGAGAAAAGGACTAAGATCCTTCTCTATTGACTGAAGAATTTTCATTTCCTACCCAGAAACTACAGGAAACTGCAAAAGTGAAATTTTTTCCATGCGGGAGGAAAAATCACAGGTGAATGGAGAGCTAAGCATGCTCAGTGGTATGGCAAACTTGAGTGACATGCATGATCTGGGGTCTCATAGATTACATATATATATTGAGCGTATATTATGCTTTGTGTTGAGATAGTACTGTACATGAGCTGATGTGGAGATTATGGGGTTTTCATTTACTCCTTTTGTCTGACAAATTTCATTTGAATTTTTGTTTTCCTGATCCCCCCAAAAAAGTATTTTAAAAAAACCAGAACTTTGCACTATTATGTCGGCATATATATGGATGAATTCTTTTTTCTCAAGCATTATGGACAGTACCTTAACCAGGGCTTCTGATAGGTCACGGAAGAAAAAGTCAAATTTCGTGGGTTTTTTAGGGACAAATTCGAGGAAAAATCGGCCGACTTCGCGGGTATTTCGAGGGAGTTTTCTGGGCAAACTTCACCAAAAAGCAATTGGTAAAAAACAGCCGATTTTGTAGTTATTTCAAGGCAAATTTCCCTAGAAATTGATTGGTTTCGCATCGATTAGACCAGCATTTTTAACGTTTTTCTAACAAAGGTCATCATTTGCTCTTTCAACAACAATATGTTCCAGAAATGAACCAATGGCAAAGCCTTTAACATCATGGCTAGTGCCCAGTTTTTCGCAACATAATCTACGCCTGGTAGTTTTGGGACGTTGTTTGCACGTTTCAGTGACGAAGTTCCAAGATAAATTTGCAAGTTTACGGCAAGTAAATAGCCCGTATAGCTGAAATAAGTTTCAAATATTT